GTTTATTTTTGACCAAATTCTGTTTCAATATTAAAAGCAGTGTTTCTTAACTTAAATTAGCAGCATCTGAAACAACACATATATTACTATCCATGATATTACAAGTGATCTGTCATTATTCTAGTAAAGGTAAGTCTTGGGAATTTTTGCAAGTTCTTTAATTAAAAAAAAAAGCACTAGTGATCAAAAGGAAAAAAAAAAGGGTTTTTAGGGTATTATCTTACAGGTATGATTTTTGTAAAGACTTTTTGCTACATCATAAAGTCTTGTGGAACAAATCAAGATTGGCTCATGTGAAAACTGTCTCAGATAAAATCACCAATTGCAGGGTTTAGTCTAACTTCTATTAGGGAAAACTTAGATATGACTCCTTAGGGATATCCAAGTACCTATGATGCAGTCTAAAGGTTATATAGGTTTAAGTGACAAGTATGTTAAACTATAGCAACCAACCCTGAGTCTTCAATCCTTGCCATCATTACAAACAAAATGAAAATTCCATGTATTTCTATTAGTCATCGTGTTAAAAGACTCAGGATCTGCCCATTACTCAATTTACATGCCAGAAACCTAAGAAAGGGGTCCGTTAAGAGAGCACCCAACAAACCTGTATTTCTAACTGTTGGACCACCTGCATTTGCACTCGACACTGGGCAGTGCTTCGGTCGTCCAGAGCATGTTCATTGTTAAGGTGCCTAAAGACACACGAAACACAGAACACAATGTTAAACAACATCTATGTTAGTGGCATACGCTCCTCTTAAAAACACAACCCTGAAGCCATAGTTTTCTCCACAGTGGGAAAAAGAGACACCTTGAAACTGTACAAAGAAAAGTTAACTATGCTTATGTGTTTAGTGAAAATTATGTATGTATTAAACAGAGACCCCTTAAATGGCAGAAAATGGCATTGTCTCTAAGCTTATGAGTTATTACAAAAAAAATATTTCCCCAAACCATTTACAGAAGAGTAGAAATCACTAGGTATATTTCACATACTCATACCATTTTTTTTTTAAAAAAAGGGCACCTTATAAATACATGAACCAAAAGTAATTCTGAAGAGAACAAAGGCAATTCTCTATTCCATTTCTGTTAAAACAATCTGTGGTTCCTATGATGTTATTTAGTGAGTGATATCTTATTTCACCAGGATTGGTGCGAATTATGTAAAGATGGCAAATTATCATCCCATGGAAACATCAATACTTAGGAAGAATAATCCTTTGCTGTCACTAATAAATAAGATACATTGAAGATTCTGGTAAGCAGAAGCATAAGACTGACACCTCAGGTCCAGTGTCCTATTTGGGAGACACTTATCCTACTTTTACACAAAAGTGGTGAAAGATAAGACATTCTCTTTATCTTACTCTAATCTTGATTATGTATTAGTCTGTTGTTATGATTATTATTACGGAATGGTGTTTAAAATGATCTCTTTAATGAGTGTTATGGCTATACGCCAAAAGTAATTTAGGGAAGCCGCATCTCCAATGAACATGAAAATATTCAATAATATGTACTTTGCTATTTGTATTATATAATTTATTTGCAGCTTCCTAAAATTAAAAAAAATCTTCATGTAATTTGGATCTTTGGTGGGTCTATTTCACCAATGAACAAACTAAGGCAGCAACTTAAGAGATGTTCTCATCAATACAGGTAAGTGAAATACTGAACAAATTCTTCACAAAATTAAACAAGAATTTATACATTTTTCTATCTGGGTTCAAGTACCATTTAGAATGGTATAATAGTCTAAAAAGTTTAGGACAGCCCTAAGTGTACTGAATTCAACAAAGATATTTTTGCATCCATTCAAATTATTTACCAGTATTTCTTAAAATTAGTAATGAAGCAGAACAAATATATAGACAGACATATACATAACACATATAAAGAAGAATTAAAATGGTGTTTCTCAGAAAGAACTAATTTATAAGTATGCAGTTTTATTTTTTAGCAGATCTAGGTCCCCCGATTAGAAACCTTTGTTCCATTCTGCCCCATCCTTGGATAAATTAAATCAGTTTCTTTCAAAACCTCCTCACTGATCATAACAACAAAACCTCCATGTATCTTGGTACAGTTGTCATTCTTGGTTGAAAAGAAACTGTGGACTAAAATAGCAAGGTGTATAAGGTCAAGTTTGGGCTATGTGGTCAGAGTGCAGGAGAGGCCCTTCCCTACACCTGTCTGCTCTAAGCTTAGCTCCATTCGGTTCTGTTAGGAACCTAACTGTAACGAGAACTAAAATCCACTCATGCTTTCTGGAAGGGAGGCATGGAATGAACCAGAGGTGAGCTTATGATGTAAAGCGTCACTATTCTTAATTCACGGGCCATTTAAAAATTGTTTTCCAAGTTTTCCCCACAATTTTAATGAACAATGAGATGATTTTCTGTCAGTGTACTACAAGAGGAGTTGTATTCCTAAGGCTTAACATTGCTGTATTTTCTTAAGATTTTTTACACCATGAACTCTTGGGGCACACACA